AAACATTTGTAAAAAAAAAAAAGGAATACGCAATTAAATTTGAAAATGAAAATATCAATCAAATTATTTTTTTGCAAAGCACTTAAAATAAATTTGTAAATATGAAATAAGCATTATGCGTAAAGAATTAAAATAAAAAAAATTAAAATAAGCAATTAAAATATCAAAATAAGTGATAGTAAAATAATTAAAGAAATAATTAAATATTAATGTACGTTCATTTTGTTTATTCCGTTATCGGTTGGTTATTGCATCTAGTAGCAGTGTGTTAGTATATATTTTTTAATATTTTTGTTTATCGAACGTTATTTGCATAGGGTCCTAATATTTGAAATTTTGCAGGATGGAATATCATCTGGACGACGCTGTCAGACAGATCCCTGGTAAAGTTACCTCGAATTGTAACTTTACCAGCTTCGCTTTGGTATTGGATTTGCTGGACGACGATCACGCAGATATATTACGTCGATCATGCTTATGGCCATTGTATTCGTTGCGTGACGTACAGTGGTCTGGGCAGCTGCTGGATGCCCTATTATGTCGCTTGCTGAAGCCAGTTGACGGAGACGCCCTCCATTTTGATCTTGGGGGCAAGGTAGCCACGTTCTCTATATTTGAGTTTGCTCTCGTCACTGGACTGCGATGTACGGATGATGCAGAGGCGAGGGCCTGTGTTCTGAGGAACAGGAGGCTGTTGAACGAATATTTTCATGGACAGACGACGGTTACTCTAGCACAGCTAGGAGATGCATTAAGGAGATGTGATCGGATGTCTGATAGGTTGAAGTTAGGATTGGTGCTTATCATCGAGAGCATACTCCGGTGTCATCACAAGAAGACATCGATTGACATTTTTCATTTGGAGGTTGTTGAAGATATTGATGCCTTCAACAACTACCCATGGGGTTGGAGATGTTTTCTTGATACATTACGCGTGTTTAGGAGGGGGTTTTCAATGCCAAAGGGGGATAAGCCCGAGCGCAAGTACGATGCATATGGACTGCC